TCAGTTGTTGTTTAAATAAAATACGAACGAGTCATCGTTCCGTTACAATTTGATCATTCCATCTGAATCTCTTAATCGTCGACACTCAAGATCAACGAGATCGCGTGGGTGTGGATGAGGCTGTGGGCGTGAGTATCGTGTGGGTGGTGTGAGACGGGTGTGGATGTCGTTTGGATGTATGGCGCTCAAGTGGAAAAATCTGATTTAAATCAGACAAAAATCAAACTTAAATAATTTTAAATCCCTTCAAATAATTGAACTTATTTTAAATCAGATAAATCATCTAAATCACTTTTAAATTACGTTATATCACAAGTAACGCTCATCCGAAGATTCGCTTAGCTCTTTCTCGTAGAAATGGTATTCTACAATACTAAACTTTTTCATTATACAGTTTGGAAAAATTAACACCAGATTTATGTTCTTCCACCCCACTTACCCTTCAGTCACCCCTTATCAAAAAATTTTTTTTATAAAAATTGGTTCTCTCCCTAAAAAAGTGATCCATAAAATTATTCTATAAAACTAACATCAGATTCGAAGTCTCCACATCGAAATGCCCCAAAAATGTCTTTTCTAAAAAATTGATTCTCGAATTACCCTCTGGTAAAACTTTCTTGGAACTATCTTTAAGTTTAATAATATTAATTAATTATTAATTGGTTTTCAACTAAAACTAACCTCACATTCGAATTCTTGGAACTCGATTACCCTTCGGTCGAACTTTTTTCAAAAATTAATAATATCAATTATTAACTAATTAATATAAATAAATCAATCTCAGATTCGAGTTCTCCATACTCGATTACCCTTTGATCCAACTATTCCGAAAATATTTCAAAAATTAATAATACTAATTATTAACTGATTAATAACTAATTAACTTTAATAAATCAATCTCAGATTCAAGTTCTCTATACTCGATTCCCCTTTGGTCCAACTATTCCGAAAATATTTCAAAAATCAATAATATTAATTATTAACTAATTATTAATTGGTTTTTAACTAAAAATAACCTCAGATTCGGATTCTCCACACTGGATTACCCTTCGGTCAAACTTTACTCGAACATATAATAATACGAATTATTAACTGATTATTAACTAATTATTAACTAGTTAATTTAAATAAACTAACATCAGATTCAAGTTCCCCACCCTCGATTACCCCTCCAGTCAAAGTTTTCCGGAAGTATCTGAAAAATTAAATTTCAATGTTTTTTTGACCCTGCGGACAGACAAGCAAGCAGGCAAGCAAGCAAGCAAACAATTTATTCTTACTAGACTCTTCTCTTACGAGAAAGAGAACATTAAAAAAATCAGTTTTTATGATTTAAATCATTTGAAAATCAAAATTAAATCACAAATCTCTTTTCCTCCTTAGTATGACTCATGCATATTGCTAGGGAGATAATAATCTTATACCACTGTAAAGCCATGTTGTGGAACTTCATTTACGTGTTTTCAATCACCTATAAGTTCAATTTAAGTCGTAAAAATCAGCTTAACTCATTTTAAATTACAAAATCATGTATTGCTTTTTTCCCCTTGGTGTCGCTACTTTATTTATTAGGCACCCGCACCCACACTCTATCCATTATCAAGTGATCCATTGCTTATTGTTTAAAATGATTTGAACGATATCGTTAGTGAAAAACATTGAGAGTATTGACTATAAATTGTCAACAATCCTGACATTCAAGAAAGGTTTATGAGAAAAACGGTCTGAAACAAACTTTTTATTGGAAATGTGATTCTTATCAGCTGTCAGGATAAAGAAAACTGACATTTTTTTATCATTCGACAGTTAATAACAGAAATTGTTGATATTTATCTGCTATCAGTTAACTAATTGATAAGCTGCGGATGTAGGCGTATCTTTTCTTTACTTACACCAACACACACTCAGACCTACAGCCACTCCCTACTGCAAAGGCAGCAAAGATGTAGAACCTTGTATGAAACGAGTTCCTAAAACTAATATTCATTATTTAAACAGTCTCCAGTTCTCTGATGAAAATATAAGATCAATTAATCGAGGTTATTTCGTGACTTATCCTCATCAATAAAATAGTCATGACTCGAGAAAAGATCTTTAGTCACAATTACTCAGTTGCTCCAGTATCAACAGATCTTATTTCGTCGCTCTAAAACCAATGTATTACTCGAGAAGTTTTCTTCGTTAGATTTTTTTTCCTTATATTCTAAAATAGAAAGAGATAAAATTAATAATAAAACTAGTCTTGGATTTTCTGTTAACGGAGAGAGTGGTATTCTCTCGTCCTTTTCTACTTTGAAGAAGGCAGCCGACAACAGCTATTACTTGTTCTTCTGCAAAGAAAAGAAAAAACAACAATGTTGACAGAAAAAAAAGAAGCAAAGACTTTGCATGCTATTTGCATCATTCTAGTTCTAATAAAACGTGCTGTGTCGTCGATCAAAAACCAAACATGTCATCTGACGGTAGCAAAGCTTGTGCCATTATACTTTTAGCTTTTCTATTTGCAATCGGTGCTAGTATATATTATTCGAACGAAATAAAAGAATATTTTGATAACGCCTCCCGTCCTTCAAAAATTATTTATCGTAAGGAAGTACAGGTCAATGCATTTTTAATAAAGAAATATATCAAGCCAGGTACACATTTTCATAATAAAATAACAATTCATGCGGCAAATGATTCGGACGGGACGGAACTGTATCGAATTAATTGGGATCACTCACTTACAATGACATTAACAAGAATTGAAGATGGATTTGTTGTCAGTCGAGCACAACGTCTTAATGATCTATCGTATTCATTTGAACTTTTTGGTCAGTTAGCGGCGACTGGAAAAATGACTCGAAAAGCAACAAATGAAACATTTTTCATGATCGAATACGCAAGTGATAAATATAAAACCTGGGAGATATCCATGACAAATTCCAAGAAAGATATAGAATTTTTTTTTATCGTATGTGACTGGGATGTAGTTTGGTGGGATTTGACTACATCCACTGTTTACGATAAATATGGAATCGCGGATTTGGAAATGATAGATTTCGGGCAAAGGGCACATTTACAACATAAATCTAACATGAATGGTCATGCTCTTTATGGACCAGTACCTAATCCTTACATCTATGATTTATATGTGTTAAAATATTTACCAGACGAATTTTATCTTACTACTATGATTGTTGGCGATCACATATTACCTAGTGATTGCAAGGGGGGAACGGAAGATTGGAGTTCTTTTTGAAGTTCCTCGGGTTTCTGGACTTCAAAATCACGGAGTCCCATGGAGTGCGTGAAGTCTTACAATCTGCTATTTGCCTCTTGAGTGATTGTCATTGTGATAAACACCATTAATTTGAATTGCTTCATGTTTGTTAAAATCGAGTTTGTGTATATATGATCACTTTTGCTTAATATTTTGTGACTAGAGCTGATATTGCCTGTTGAATTTATATCAACCATTATATATTAAACAGAAATAATTGACGTATTTTCTTTTAATTTTGAAATATAAAAATGAGCATATTCGATGATGTAAATATAAAATTAATATGTTTTTGGAAAAAACATCTCCTCACAGACGCTTCGAATAATATATCCTTCTACTGAAACACTGATGAAGTTCGAAGATAGTGTTTGATATCGACACTCTTAGTTTTCTTATCATGAAGTTTACATAAAAAATTATAGGACACTCAAGAATAACTCATCAAAACCGTAATATCTCATGTAATTTAAACTTCATGCGTGTGATGTGTATGGCTATTGGTTACGCTTTCATATTATAACATAGTAGCTTTTCGACTTTAGAAAACATGCGATTTTGTAGTTATTGGAAACGGGTGGGTGTGGATATAGGATGAATACATTAACTACATCCATGCATTCCCATTTTGAGGGTGTGGGTGTCCGTGTCAATGTGGATATAATAAATATACTACTCATACCCCGTCCACCCACACGAAAAGTTGATGCGAAATATCTCTTTCTCGAATCACGCATTGTTGAGAATATGATGATCACAGTTTTTGAAGTGAAATCATAATTTTAAATAAAATATTTCTTTTTATTGCAACATAGAGCCATAAATAATAACAAAGGTCTTTGCAACATAAATGCAGATCACTGCTGATCATATACATATACAACAACAAAAAATTCGAATAAATAAAGTTTTTCAAAATTCAACAATAACCATTATGAAAACTAACCGGATTAGATGAATGTGCGAAACTATAGCTAATTGATCAAAGTCTATTAGAGTGTTTTCAATTGGTTACAATTTTCTAATAATGTAGGTCGATTAATATAATCATCTAC